TCATTGAAATCTTTTTGAAGACAAATTTTGATAAGTCAGTTCGCTTTGATTCTCGATAAATTTCACGATCGAAGGTTCACTCAATTTCTCGATAAGTTTCACGATGGAAGGTTTACTCTTAAGTGATCGCTCGTAAATTTGTCTCTCCAAATATTCACTCTTAAATTTTCGCTCATAAACTAGTGCACCGTAAAGGTTGGGGAACGTGTCGTTCCCCAAAAAGCTATAATCTTTCTCTTGACTGTCCGCAATGCCTCGTTCTTTTCAAAATGGCGTATAAGATTTCAATGAGCCAGCGATATATCTCAGTCAGCGATATATCCCTAACAATGTAACGTTGAAAAAACGGACCGTCTGCATTTTAAGACCGGTGCCAGCCTTCGGCTGGGCCCCGGTAATAAGTTTCATGTTGTTTTTGGCGCATGTGCATAAGCCAAAATTGTTTAAGTGCGACAAGAGTCGCAACTATGTACACTGGTTTGTATAGTTGTCTCGCTTATTACTTTACGGAGCCATCGTCATAAACAGTAACACACTTTAAGTGTTTTTCATCGTTCTTACATACAGGCTTTAACTGTAAATGCAACGGTGGTTACTTCGGCGACTACTGCGAGTTTGAAATTGACGAATGTTCAGCAAAACCCTGTTTCAACAATGCAACATGTCATGATGTCATCAACAATTTCACTTGTTCTTGCTCCGCCGAGTTTACGGGGAGGTACTGTGAGCAGAACATAGATGATTGTGTGAATAACTCCTGTCAAAATAACGCAACGTGTGTTGACCACACACTGGGTTACTCTTGCCTGTGTGCTGAAGATTACAACGGAACGTTTTGTGAAACAGAGATCAACAAATGTGACTCCTCTCCGTGTCAAAACAATGGGACATGCGTAGTTGAAAGACCTGGGTACATATGCAGGTGCCCGGATCAGTTTGCAGGAGTAAACTGCGAAAACTTTACCGACCCCTGCTTATCATCACCATGTCAGAATGGCGGAACGTGTCACGCTGACAACGCCACGGGAAGCGTCTCTTGTTTATGTAAAACAGGTTTTACGGGAAGCACCTGTGATGTGAACATTGATGATTGTGCATCGGAGCCCTGCATGGCCAACTCCTTTTGCCTTGATTTGGTAAACGACTATGAATGCAAGTGTTACCCATCTCACACAGGAGATCACTGTGACATATGTGAGTAATGATATCCCCATAGGCCATTTTCGAGTTGACCCAAGCCTCTGTTTTAAAGCGAGGCTTTGTGCGAAGCTATCGATATGAAAATGAATTTTCACTACCAGCAAATAAAACTCACTTTTACAAGAATTTTTTTCACTTAGTCTCAACTCTCTCTTTCAGCTCTTTTGAAAGTGAGATTGTTTGGAAATCGGAAATGGTCTATTCCTCAACTTAATCGAGGCGTTGAAATGACCTATGTAATGCAACGTCAAACAGACCATGTTGATGTGAGCCGTGTGCTGATTATAGTAATGACGATCAAAATTATGCCTGTTAATGGTAGAGAAACTGCTACCGCTTAACTTTTATGCACTGCTTTCTCTCTCTCTAATTTTGTGGTGATAAAAAGGCCAGCTGATCAATAGTTTTAAATTTACAGAATATTTTTAATTCAAATATGGTTAAGACCTGCGATAACTCCACCTCGATGAATTGCATAAAAATGTGTCATCGAGAAGATCCATTCCAAGCTATAAATCGTTGTGTTACGTTTACAGAATGTAATAAAGTGACACTTCAAAGAAATATCTTAATATAAACTAAACCTCTTACATTCCTTTCTCAGTCCTTGGCAGCAATTTTGATTTGATTTTCAAGCGCGATACTGCAAACGACATGGTTATATTATCAGACGGTGAAAGCATCCCTACAATGAGGTTTTTTACCATCGCCCTGTTTGTCCGAGCAGACTCCGAGCAGAGCTCAGGAACACTCTTCAGCTACAGTGTGCCTGGTGTACCACAAGACGTGATAATTCTCTCATTCACTGAGTCACAGGTTAAGCTGGCGATTAAAACTGAAGTTGTGGCAGCTGATTTCAAATTACCGGACAATAATTGGAACTACGTGGGCGTAGTTTGGAGCGGAACGACAGGAGATGTGTCCGTGTACATTAATGGCCCTGAGATAAAAAGGGCCAGGAACATTCTCAAAGGTGAGATTTTACTGACTTCTCAACAGCAGCTTTCATCGGGGCACAAGTTTGAAAATTTGTAATCCTTTCACTGCATTAATCTATTGCAGTCAAACTCTACCGCAAAAGAGCAATCAGATAGTATTCTGAACAAAGCAATAGCATTTTAAGAGCTGATCACTAAATCGATAGCATGGACTGTACTGCAAATGGTCCATGATAACTTTGAAATCAACGATCAAAATTGAATTTACTTTCACGAGTTCAATTTTACTGTAAAAATCCAGGTGATATCATCACTGGCGGGGGATGGATGGTTCTTGGCCAGGAGTTCCTCGCTGGAAAACCATCATCTTCTTTATCGACTGCTTTTGCTGGTACATTACATCAAGTCAGCTTTTGGGACGTGCCTGCTACTGCGGATCACATGTGGAATGCAGCACACAACTGTACTTGGCCCATTGCTGGAAGTGTGCGCGCGTGGAGTAGTTTTCTTCAAGGAATCAAAGGCAAAGTGGAAAAGCGATTCATTACGCAGTGTCAAGGTAATCAGAGTGAGTAACAGAAAGCGCTGCAAACGTTAGCGCCAGCTGCGAGTGAATAAGATTAGGAGAATCCACGGTCTTGGAAGGAAAGGCTACACAACAAAAAAAACACTTAATGACCGGTCCCGAGGGAAACAGTTAATTTTGTTTCCCGACAATCACACTGTTTCCCGTGAAGGAGCCAAGGAAAACATTGAGATTCGAGTTTCAATATTAGATGTCATGTGATCTCGAAGTAAGCAATGAGAGCGCAAGCTGTTGGGAAGAAATTCACAGCTATTTAACGATACCGTTTTATGACTCCTGGGCTCAGAACTTTCAATGTGATTCCGTTTTGAGGTGAAAAGATGTTTAAGTGTCATTGTTGGCAAAATTGAAGCCGTCGATAAAAATAACTGTCCACTAAATTCTACCCGTCAAGCGAAAAACGAGTCACAAAATCGTTGCGCTGGACACTTAAACATCTTTCCGCCTCAAAACGGAATATTAAAATATCTTGAAACTTTCAGCCTTAGCTATGTGCGCCACAAACTGTTCTCACTTCCTGAACTGCGAGTCTCGGCAGGGAATGTACCACTGCAACTGCGTCCCTGGATTCTCTGGACCACATTGCAACATTAACATAGATGAGTGCAAGTCCAGTCCTTGTGTCAATGGAAAGTGTATAGATGGTATAAATCAGTATGAGTGCGTGTGCAACAAAGGCTACTGGGGAACAAACTGTGAAAAGAAGGTCAACGAAGAAAAAGGTCAGTGAAAAAACAAGAGAACTTAAAGGCCCATTAACATTATTTGTCAGAGTTCCAAAGATGGGGTAGTATCCTTACTGAGCGCCGTTTCCCATTAGCCGAAATGGAGATTCTTTAACTCACGTTTGTAGTATGAAGTCAAATGCTATTCTCTCTAACTGCCGGCGTTTGCTGCCAGATAAGCAGTATGTAAGCTTTTGTAGAGGAATGGGTTTGTTTACTTCTTATCGCCTCCACAGAATGCTCAAGCCTTCCACAGCCTTCAAATGGCAACATTTCATGCAAAAAACTTTCCGGGAAAGAGCTTTGTACTATAACATGCAACGAAGATTACTCATTCAGATCTGAGGCAATAACAACATTCGGCTGTGGTCCTGACACTGACTGGAAATGGAATGGAAAGGCAGACATTGAAGTTCCAACCTGCACAAGTATGTATATTTGTGTCAGTTGATCTTGTCTCTCTACGTGGAACTGACACGTTTTGGCACAGAAAATCGTTCAAGAGGAAACCTACGTGTTGTAACCATGCACAAAAGAGGCTCTTTTTCTGGCGTTAAGGAGTCTTAGTAGAGCTAAGTGGAACGAGGAGTAACAGTACCTTTCTGGTGCAGCTTTACCAGGAAATATTCGGCTAATCATTGAGTAAAATATTTACACTGTTACCCTGGTAACTTTACAGTGCGACTACTGTGACCGGAGCCACTTAGACAAAGTAGACCAATCGGATTACAGAAAAATAACAATACATTCCAAGAAAGTTGGTTGTGGGCCAATCAACAGTTCGTAAAACAACAGTAAGTTACTCGAAGCACAAAATTTAAATTTTGACAAAAAATGTTTCGCAAGAAAGCAAAACACTCAGGAGACATAATTGTTTGACACAAGCTGTTATTTTGTCATCTACCGGCAATTTCTTCGTTACCACTGTCACGCTTTGAAATAACATCACGATCTCAAGTCAAAAATGTAACTAACCTTTACGTTTTTTGCCTCCGTCAACACTCTAACGGACCTCTCAGGAAACACGGGCTTTCTTCAACAGGTTCAAAAGGTCAGGTTTATAGGTTGTAATTGGTTGAATTCTATATATGTTGTTTACTTCGTTTCGTGGTAATTATGATTGACAACTAACTTTCTCAGAATGTATTGTTAAACTCCTGTAACTCCGATTGGTCAACTTTGTCTAGGTGGCCCCGGTTATAGTATTCGCATTGTAAGATGCAATTCCCTATGGTAATATTTTTCCACGAAATAGACGAATATCTGTGAATGGAATCTCGTTGCCCTTTAACAATGCACAGCACTCCGAGGTGTAATAACAGCTTTTGCGCAGTGATAATCCTTACTTCCTTACAAACAATGGTATTTTCCAATTTACCAAGTCATTCATTAAAATGATTTTTCTCATCAGGCAAGGCAAAGCCAAAGAAGATCGAGCATCACCTTTCAGTGAAGTTTATTGGAATGGGGTGTCAGATCAGTCGAGGTCCCAGCGATATTCATTCAGCTTTGGAGCAGGAAGTGGCCGAAACTCTTTCAACAATACCAGGATGTCTCGACTCTAACGCCTGCAACCTCACGATGATCTCAGTTCCCGAATGTGGTTGGACAGCTCTTCAAAAGAAAAGAAGAGCAGTCGTCGATGGAATGGAAGTATTATTTTCGTTGTTAATCAAAGCGGTCGAGTCAGCTTCGATGACGGATGATGTTGACGAGAAAAGTGAAGCTGTGCTATTTCAGATGCAATACGCCATCTCCACTGGGCAGTTTAGGATCAGTTTACATGGTGTTAACAGCACCGCAGACAGGTCCTCTTTTAAACACCTCTCGTCTGAGATCACATGTAATCCAGGGTTTGTAAAGAGCAGTGACAAGACCGGATGTGGTAAGCAGCAAATAATCAACGCCAGTATATATTAGTATCAGTATAGTCTGCACCACACACGAAAAAAAACTCTGGTTAAGTCCGTCTGCAAAACAGCTCCGAAATCCTTGTTCTGGGCCCCCACCTGTGTACCAGGGTTTGAGTACGCGCTATGATTGGCCTGTTAAAAAAGCCATTGGCAATTTGCGAATCAAGATAAAAGGAAATTCGTATGTACTTCCAGTAATTCGTTGACTCCGTTGCCGGGGGCCCAGTACGAGATGATGGCGCTGCTTCGCAGACGTCATTAACCAAGGTTAAATTACGTCTGCGACGCAGGCTGAAATCAGTTTGGCATAAAATGATTGGAGATCTGGTCGCAGCTGTTCAAAAGCTGGATAGCGCTATCCACCGGGTAAATCACTATCTAGTGGATAAATATTGGGGAAGCCAATTGCGCTATCCTGTGTATATAACAATTATTCACCGAAGTGGAGGTGGCTAGTATTGGATATTTACCGAGGCCGCGAAGCGGCGCGGTAAATATCCAATACTAGCCACCGACACTGAGGTGAATAATTGTTTTAGTATGTACTAAAACAGTGAGATAATTTAGCACAAAATGATGATTTTTAACTCATTTACTGTTGCCAACGATTACAATTTTGGCGCGCAATGACCGAACTGCCGCAGTCGTCGCTTTTTCTTAGCGACAAATAAAACTTTTGAAGGCGTTTGTTTAGCTCTTGCGGGGAAGTTTCTTCAAAAGGAGTTGTGAATTCTGTTTGTATTTAAAATAATTCTGTAAAAAAGATTATTAAATTTAGTTTTAAGCTTATTTATGAACAAGTCAACTAAATAAAGTAACGCAAGACTTAAGCTTAATTTGCATTTGTAAACAAAAAACTTTTTCACCGGTTTTATCGATAACTAAGCTATAACTATTCAAGTCAAAAAGACAAAGCTTTACCTGTTAAAACTTCCAAACCGAACTTTGTCACCTTCTTCATGTATTTCCGAAATAGCTTGCTTGATTAGTTGTGAAATTTCTTAGTTTTTTACGGCAGCAAACCGCGAAAGCATTTTGCTCGCAACCTACGCTTGTTTGGCGTCTCTCGCTCGGAGGAACTGGAGGTGAATCAGTGAATAGTGCAGGATATTCACTGATTGAGTAGCCAATCAGAGCGCGCGAAAAACACTATCCACTGTTTTAGTATACACTAAAGATATTTATCCGGTAGATAGCGCTATCCACCTTTTGAACAACTGGAGCCTGAATGTTAAGTAAAACCCGTGTTACCTGTTTTCTTCAATAGTCGCCTGTCCTGTGGGAACGTTCTATCACCAAGAATCTTCCAATTGTCCAGCCTGCTCCAAAGGCACTTATCAAGATAAAGAAGGACAGAGTAGCTGCAAGTGTTGCAGTGATGGAAAGACAACAGACAAAAAAGGAGCTAAATCTGCAAACGATTGTGAGCCAAGTAAGAATACATAGATAAGATAAAGATAAGAGATAATAGTTTCTTTGTATTCTCCCCTTATGGGGCTTTTCAAGGATAGTGAAACAAATAATTTAAATGGCACATAACATGGTTACGAATCCTAACTGGTAGGAGGCGAACCCGTTGGCTATTTTACAAGAGCGGCCATGAATTTGAACTCGGGACTACCGAGAACAAATCGAGCAGTGGTCAGGGTGGAACTTGAACTCGGGGCCTCCGAATCACAAGTCCACCGCTCTAACCGCTCGGCCACGCTGCCTGCATAACGCATGGCTGAGGCATTTCAATGCGTCAAAGTTTCTCCTTTTCTGACTTTGGACAAAATGCAAATGCAATTGAACAAAAATATTTTCTTATCATGAAAATGAGACTTTAGTGAAAAACTAGCTTAAGCATGCGTTTTTTTTTTTTTGCAGCAAAAACAAAGGATGGAACGAGTCTGATCAAAATCACCGTACCAGTGGTTATTGTATTTGTCGTTGGCATCGTCGGGATAGGGGTCTACTGCAGGTATGTGGTAATCTCCTACCCAGATATCATGTCTACAAGAGATCTGGGAACTAGATTAGGTACGTGGTGATGGCACAGGTGATAAAACCGAGTGGTGTAGCTTACACACTCAGTCACTTATCCTACCAAATCTAGCCTGGAACTTCGTCATTTGGAGCAATATGTAGTATTATCTATCCGCATTGTAGGTTGGACCAGCAGTACTCTAGAAACTCGAAAATGTTTAATAGGGTTTTTACAAAAAACAAAATAAAGAACTAATACGCAATTTTATATCAACAAGTCTCCAATCTTTCCTGTTCTGTTTCTTACTCGATCCTTGAGCACATCTACTCTTACTTCTTCACTGCATGTGCGATGGTATTCGCAATCAAAATGAACTGGTACATGAAGTAACTCTTTGGCGGGGTTTAAACTAACCTCAACGCAAACATTATTAGGGATGATCTGGAATATCTCATCCCTAAAGAACAACAGTCTAGCCTATACAGTCTTTTTGTTGTTGTTTTTTGGAAGCTACGCAAGTTAAACAAATATATATTCTGTTTGTTGCTTTATTTGTGTCCCAGGTGTCGCCGTCCTCGATGCCAGGACCCACCAGTCAAGAAGGATAAAGCACACACATACGGTCAGAACAATCCCGCATTTGAGCTAGGGACAGGAAGTATTAACAAAGACCAAGAGCACCTCTACAGTGAAATATCAGACCAACACTCTTTTAACGAACAGTACCAAGTACCAAACAATGCACCAGTATACCAATCTGTAACACCCAAGAGCGCGGACGACTGTAAAAACAATCATTATCAGGCGCTTAATAAAGATCATGCCCACAAAACCAACCATTATCAGAAACTTAAAGACATCGGTGGAGAACCACGACATGTTTATGAAAACTTTGGTAAGCATAACGATCAGACAGAAGTCTAAAGGAAGAAGGAAGGATATTCTTTGTAGCGAAAACCCAAGGAATTTCTAAGCAACATAAATTGTAGTATGACACCTATTATAACAGACAACGCCAGTATGTAATCGAGTATGGCAAATTGCTTATCAAAGACTAATCCTCAAACAGCAGTTACTAGCGTAAAAAAATCTTTAGGCGTACCAAATAGCACCTAAAACACTGTTCAAAATTGAACTGGCTTCCAAAGTAGAACGACATAAAACTTGTTTTTCACACCACAAAAATATACTTCAAAATAGTCGAAGCTTAAATTTTTTGATAGAGACCTTGAGGCAATGCAAGCTAGAGTTATTCGTGTCGGTCAGAAATGGGAATTCACAGTTTTAGTTGAAGCTAGTCTTCAGACTTTCAAGAACGCTATCAGAAATTTAGATATTTTTGGCATTTTAGAAAATAACTGTGACTGTTGTGACCTTTACAGATCCTGATTTTATGATTATAAGATTTTAAGAATTTGAATTTCAGATACAGATTATGTATCACGTATTTTTTTAGATTACTGTATTTTTTAGGTTAGTGTCCCCAGTTAGCTGTCTTATATTTTGTACAGCTAAATACATTTGACACCTAAATAAAGTTCTTATGTTATGTTATGTTATGGTATGCTACTTTTTGCAAGTAGAACACCTACCCTTCCTCAGACTAGGCTAAATCATGCCATCGAAGTGGAGAGAAATACATTACTTTCGACCTTTGGATCCCGGCCATCGTTTGAATTTTGATGAATTTCGTGCACAGCCCCCTTTAATTTGGTGTCAAAGCAAACTTCATCTGCAGTTCAGACCTTTTTTTTATAATTTCCCGTTGCGAGGAGGGAGATTTAGTCAGATTTAATTCACGCGCACGGTATTGTACTATGTAGATATTGCGGTAGCTCGACGCGATTTCGGACGCTGAAAAATTATGCAGACCTTTATTTGCTGCAAGGTAATGCTTTTCCCGAGTCATCATTCTCTAATGCTTCTTTTCTTTATCAATAAGTATGGTATATTTAATGGCTAATTTTTCTAATGGCTAAATTCAGACTCGGGTAAACAGAACTTGTTCCTCCATAATTTAGAGTCGAAAAAACGTTTAGGACGTGACAATGTTACTAAAATAAGAATTAATATCAAGGGCTGATGCGCTCCAAACAATTCCTTTTGCATGAAACGTGACAATAAACGTTTTTCTTACTAAAGCTTAGGTGTTATACATTTTAAAATTAGGTGTGTACCGCTGCAAGGTTTACCGCGCTTTCAACTTTTCGTCATTTTTAGCTATCGTCGAACTTATACTTCGCAGTTGTACCATCTTTGGAAACCCAGGGGCAGTTAGTTGGGTTGAAAACTTTCGTCGCGGGCGCCTTTTCTGCCGACCGAGCCGACTGCCCCTGAGACTCCGAGGATGCTGCAGTAGTACATGCTGCCGCTGAGCGGTATTTTCTCAACGTTGCATTTACAATGGTCTGACGTCAAAACAGCAGAGAAGAGGTAATCCATTTATTCCCAAAAGTACAAGAAACTCTTAACTGAATAGAGAATTCAGGCTCTCCAGTCGGTTTCTTTGACACATGGACGTTCGTACTACCGTCCGCTAGTTGAACAGAAAAAGGCTCGAAATAGGCAATTTCCGAGTTGTTTCAGTGCCAGGCTTATTAAAGTGCAAAGCCATTGATATGAAAATGACGATTCTAAGCATCGTTTTAAAAGTGAGAGTTTTTGGAACTCGGAAACACCCTATTGACTGCACCAAACACAGTTAAATTATTTATCCTCTCCCCTTATGGGGCTTTTCATGGATAATGATGCAAAAAATTTATATGGAACATGACATAAGCCCTTAGCACTGAAAAGTATAGGCGCTATATAAATATTTATTATTATTATTATTTTTTTATTAAGACATGGTTAAGAATCCCAACTGGTAGGAGGCGAACCAGTTGGTTATTTTACAAACTTTGCCTCGTTTTCAGGTCAGAGATCAATAGCAATGGATATCTAAAGCTTCGTGCAAACAGACGTAGCTAAACTGACCGGTTTCAAACTAAGCGCAACAACTTCCAACAACACGTAACAACATGCAACAGGGTGTCAAAACGGACATCGAACAATGTTGCGTTCGTTGGCAATAAAGTAAACGGAAGATGATATCACAGGGAACCCACACTCTTATTTAACCTCCAAATGGAAATTAAATAAGAGATAAAAACTTACCTGTTCTGTTAATTAACGCTACTGTAATTAGCGCGCGATAGAGTGAGAGAGAAAAGAGACTATTCAAATTAGTTAATTCAAATTGTTAATAAATTAATAACATAAATAAATAAATAACTAAATAAAAACTTTAATGGCTGTCACAGTTACAAGCCAACAGTGAAACGCGAGACGATGATAACAACCGCGTGACACCAACAGTGAAATGCGAGACAAACCGCATAAAATAAAGCATTGTGAAATTAACGGTCAAAGCGTCGACAAAAACGTTGTTTTTGCATCCTAGAACAACTTCCATTTCACTTTGCTCCGCAGCAGATTCAATAACAGAACAGGTAAGTTTTTATCCAGGGGGAGAGACGAGGTCTGGGACCGAGAAACGATGTTCTCACAACTTGCAAAGCGGTCACCCTGCGTGGTGGTCAGCGGATAATTGCACTTTTTCCCACAGTAAATATTTTTTAGACTTTTTATAGAAGCAAGAAGCGAACCGGCAGAGGAAATCAGAAATGCTTTAAAAATTGAAAAAAATAATATCATGCATCTTTGTTTTTCTTGCATATCGTATTTGTCTTTCGGTACTGAAATTGCGGGGGAAACGAACACGCAGCCGTGTGTGAAACCAACAACAACGCGCTCGATCGATTTATAGGTTACATCGTTTTTGCAGGGCAATGATAACTTGATGCTGATAAGCATTACTGGAGAAAGTGTCAAATTTATCGGAAGCAAGTATGTTCAGAGAGCGTTATAAATATGAGCTTACAGCTCTACATATCATAACGGAATAAACATCTACACTTCATAACATTTCACTTCGTTTATTACGATCAGTCAACACCTTGAATCCAACGTTAAAATTCAAAACGATCCTAATAAACAAATCACAACTATTACTGAAAGCTCTCTACCTTGAAGCGACTTTAACTTTCCTAAGGTTTGCAGCAAAACACTGCTCGATAGCTCAACTCTTCGGCGATTCTTATCAGCTATACGGAGCTATATGTTGCATATTCCAAACTCTGCGGAGGGAAATTGTTTAACAGAAAAAGAAAACCACACACTATGTCTGAAAAGCGACATAAAATCAACAAAATTGCGAATTACCAAAATATAATAGTGAGAAACAGTCCCGCCTTCGACCGCCATGCTTTTGTTTCTTCTCAAGACCGTTGGTTTATGGATTTTGACGTAATGCGCCAGCCTACTCCCTAGGCGTTCTCGGCTCGGTCAAACCTGGACTCTACTGTGAGCTGTGACGTCACCGATACACGCCGAGAACGCCTAGCCAGTCGCCTAGCCAATAATGCCAGATCAAATATGGCGGCCGTTTCGTCAGGTTACCGCAACTTCAGCCGAAGGCAGTTGAAAATCCGTCATTTGAACAGGAAGAGTTTCTATGTGCATGCCACAGCGAAAAACAAAGTTTCGGTTTCTTAAAAAAGGATCCGCGAAACCAAGGTTTGTTCAACTTAAGTGGACTTTCACGCGCAGCAACAGGTACCCAATGAATCTCTGGACGATGGAGGAGCCGAGGTTACGGACTGTCGTCGAAAGAGGAAACAAGGCAAACCTGTATATTGTCAACATATGCTTCATTACGGCATTTCTGGGCATTTTCAAGCACTCGCTAATGTTTTAAAACGACGCATCAAAAGTGTCTCTCCAGAAAAAAATTAGTAAATAAACACAAAGTAGGTGTTGCGGGTCTTGATTCACTTCGTGTGTATATATATATATGTTTTACTAATGTGACGGTTTCCAGCAGAAAAAACAGCACATCTTTCTTACATTTCTCACGAAATACAGATATTGGGGGCCCAGATGGGTGTCTCGATACCGCACTTAAATTTTTGACAGCTATATTTGTATATAGAAAATTAAGCGTAAGTTTATGTTTGATAAAGAAAAAAAAACCTCGATTTTCGGTGTTTTACCATTGAAGATGTAAAAGATACTGTGTAAACCCGACTGGTATGGTTATTGAACTGTTGTCTGCTTATAGAGCTATTGTTGACAAACAAACCCAAACAAACAATTTTAGGAGAAACAGATATCACAATGTAAAGCACTTAAAAAAATACTTTATTTGGCATTGCATATTTGAATTGAAAGAATCATGAACTTGGGCAGCAGTTCTTCTTTTCTTCCCTTCTCTCTCTCTCCCTGCCAGCTTCTCTTCTTGTGCCATGCCAGTAAGTTTCCCATTAAAATACCTGAAATTTAATAAATTAAAAACAAAAAACATTTGAACCAGGTAGAAAATTAACCGTGTTAAAGGGTACATACAAATGTGGATCATGATTAGAAAATTGAAACCATTTGTATAAAATAAATAAAAAAAATTCCATCTAAAGAGTGACGTTATAACATGATCACTTTAAAATGATAGGTTTTTACCTGATTAAGGATGCATGGACAACATGAATTTTAGTGCGAATGTAAGACCCTATTACGCAAATATTATTATTTTGCAGATCTATAAATGCTATCTTACTGTATTTGTACTTTGTGCCCGCAATAAATTAAATAATATGCACCACACCCCCATTAAGCCCACTCTTCCCCTCTTTTTCTGCCTGTCCCAATATGAAACTCACTGGGATCAAAAAATGAAATACTGGCAGATTTATAACGAGGCTATAATATGCTGTTAAGGTTGCCTGGTTTAAATTTGCTGTGTGACAATAATGAAATAGTTGGAATTTTTCAAATAAGCAAATATAACTATTTAGTTTAATTAAAGTAAGAATTACATTCCCAGGTATACAATAATCAGCTGAAAGATTGGATGAGAAATTATTATTATATTTTTTGGAATTAGCCTCAGTGTAAAAAAAGTGATATAAAAGAATACATAATTGCACAGTTGTACCTGTTTTTCCAGTCTCTTCTGCTGACTGGTCTTCACTGATGGCTGTTTGGCAATGTCCTTGTGACCTTTTTTACAGAACATATAAAAGAAGGACAAGAAGAATATCCTGCAAAATCATTAAATACACATCAGTCAAACTTAAAATGGCTTCAGGTTTACCCTAAAGGTCATTTTATTTCCAGTGGCTACAACTCACTTCTCCAGATCTTTAAAAATACAAAGTCAGAAATCAATTAAGCTTAAGTTATAGTATAGAGATAAAGAGGATGGGCACGAGGCAAACTTTCGAAAATAAATAAATAAATGTCAATTATTGTTGTGCATTCAAAACATGTAGCCATTTTCAACTGCCTCAAGCCCCCAGCTAATTCATAACCAACATGAACTTTTCATATTTGGAGGATGCAAGCAATATACCCTTGATCCCATGATATATGGTTTTAGAAGCAAGGTTAGTACATGGTATATTTGCCTAGCAACAAGGCTGCTCGGGCAAT